GCCTGCCCCTCCTCTTCCATTCCTCCCCTCACCCCACTTTGTCCCCTGGCACCAGCCCCTCCCCTCTCCCTGCTCTGTCCTCCAGTGACCCCCCTGCCCTAGCCATCTCCTCTCCTCCAGGTTCCTGCCTCACTCTGTCCCCTTGGCGCCTGCCCATTCCCTCTCCCCCCCCCATGCTCCGGGTGCCTACCCCACTCCTCATCCCCCCACCACTGGCACCTGTCCCTCCCCTCGACTCTGATCTGCCCCTCTGGAGTCCACCCCTCTCCTCATTTCCCCTGCCCCTTGGAGCCCCCCCATTCCCTCACACCCCTTTGCCCCCTGCTACCCGCCCCTTCCTTTGCTCCCCTGTGCCCCCTGGGGTCTGTCCCCTTCTTCTTGATGCCTACCCCTCCCTTCACCCCCTGGAACCGGCCCTTCCCTCCCCCTCCCACTCCTGATGCAGGCTTCTTCCCTTGCCCCCGATTGCTCTTGTGCCTGCCCCTCCTCTCACTCATCTCTGTTCCTCCCCTTTCCTCTCCCAGTATCAGCCTGGCCCCTCCCAGTCACTCTACTGCCCTCCCCTCCCCCTCCCGCACCGACACCTCCCCCCCACACCTTCCTGTCCTTCACCTCAAGGTCTCACAGGCAGAGGGGTCCTGACTCCCCTCAGGCAACAACCCCTCCCCCCCAGCAATTAACGGGGATGCAGGTTAATTTCCCTTTGATCCCAGTGACCAGCCCCTGCCCCTGCCTCTGCCCCCGGCCCTGACTCTGTGACTCTCTCCCCAGTGGACGTGACTCTGGATCCAGACACGGCAAATACCTGGCTCATCCTGTCTGAGGATCGGAAAAGTGTAACAGATAGAAACACACGCCAGGATCTGCCCGACAACCCTGAGAGATTTGATACTTGTCCCTGTGTCCTGGGTGCTGAGGGGTTCACGGGTGGGAGGCGTTACTGGGAGGTGGAGGTGGGAGACAAGACTAGATGGACTCTGGGGGTTTGTAGGGAATCTGTGAGCAGGAAAGGGAAGCTTACATGGACACCTGTGAATGGATACTGGGTCGTGTGGCTGAGGGATGGGGAATACAAGGCCCTCACCTCCCTCAGGACCCCCCTCCCCATGCTCGTCAGGCCCAGCCGGATGGGAATTTTCCTGGATTATGAGGCGGGCGAGGTCTCGTTTTACAATGTGACTGACAGGTCCCATCTCTTCACTTTCACTGACACCTTCTCCGGGACGCTCCACCCTTATTTCTGTCCTGGTCACAGTGATGGAAGTACAAACGCGGCTCCCCTGATAATCTGCCCGGTCCCAGCTGAGGCCGGAGGGAATCTCTGTCCCTGACAGTGACCCCGCGGCACAGACTGTCCCCTCCCAGCCCTGCTGCTCTTCCCGCCCCCAGTGGTGGGGGTCAGTTAGTGCCGGCAATTGGACTTTTTGTGCTGACCGGATGCTGCCAGTTTCCCTTTTCAGCTGGAGGTTCCAGTTGAAAACCGGACACCTGGCAACCTCCAGCCCCCACCTTTCCCCATCCCCTGCCTCAGGGGTAGCAGGTAGTGGTGGATGGGGTCATTTACCCCTGTCAGAATTTTCTACCCCTGTGAAATCTCAGTGTAAAATATGAAAGAAAAAAGATTATTCTAATTTAGAAAATATTATTGTAACAAGGTGTAAATACAAGAATATTTTAATTTACATTTCAACAGTATTTCACAAACAAGCATCTAAACATAATTTTAGAAATGGAATTATTTACATTTATTTTTTGATTCTTCTCTCAAATCTATATTGAAGTTTAACTTCTCTAAATAACGTCATTTGTATTTCAACTGTGGAATTTCAAGAAATCCAAAATATTTATCTTAACAAAATAAACTATTAAATTGTCAGACTGGGTTGTTCAGTTACAATGTACATGTCTCATAAACATCACAACTACACACATGTGCAGCTGCTCTCTCTCTCTCCCCCTGTCTTTATCATCTTGACTGGTTCTCTCTGGCAGGCAGGGCACATACGCTCACTTCCTGCACTACACCTTTGACAATTAATAGGTGAAAAAATGATAGAATTAATTAAGCAATATATTTAAGTGAACTCACCCAAGATTATATCATATTCTTTGAACTTCTGTCAGCATTAATTCATGTGATGTTTAACTTTCTAGTTACATATAATTGGTAATCAAGATATGACCCTTCCTTTCTTTTTCTCACATCAATTAACAAAACACGGTCTCCAACCTCAAATGCTATCTTCCTATACACAGAAATCTCTTCTACAATCTCCATCTTTTTGGTTTATTTTTCTTTAAAAATATTATTTGCAGGCAATGTACAGTCAGTGTCCACTGCTGATTTCAATGTACTGCCGGGCTCTTCCTGCTCTTGGTTATAAGGACACAACAAATGCAGTTTGATAAAGAAATAGAGAGAGGTTTCTTTAAATTAATGGAGATATCCCATCTCCTAGAACTGGAAGGGACCTTGAAAGGTCATCAAGTCCAGTCCTCTGCCTTCACTAGCAGGACCAAGCACTGATTTTGCCCCAGATCCCTAAGTGGCCCTCTCAAGGATTGAACTCACAACCTTGGGTTTAGCAGGCCAATGCTCAAACCACTGAGCTACCCCTTTCCCCGTTGTTCAGTATTCCTTTACTGAATCATCACAAATTAACTTAATTGTATTAAAGACGCTGGCACTTAATGACACATAACATGAAATTTGGTGAAGCTTTCTTGGGAAACCTTTCTTCTCAACCATAAATCAGTCGAAAGGATGATATTTTTGTTGTCATTTGAGCTTTAGAGTACAAAGAAAATAATTGCTCCAGGAAATTCATCACAATTCCTCTGGGTTCTGTCCACCACCTTCTGGAATGCTCTGTAACAATAGTGACCGATTGGTCTAATTCCTTGAAATTAGTGATTGAACCTAATGTCTTGAAGATCTAGCTGAGCAGAGTCTGAGGGGAGGCACATCACATGGCATTGCTGGGACTACTTTTTGTTTTAAACCTGATGTGTTATGAACACTTTCAATGTAATAATTCAGTTTTGAAGATTTATTCACAATATGACGTTCATGGCAGAGTGCCCTAAACTTACCTTGATTATTTGAAAATAAATATCCTAAAATTATCTTTTGATGGATTCATTTGTGGGTTTTATCCAGTCTGCTGGTGTCTAGGTGGCATGGGCTGCTGAAGCTATGTGTTCTTCCTAGTTTTTAATACAGGGAAATGTTAATCTAAAAATAGATAATTTCCCCCTGAAATTTCCTTCAGAAATATCTGTGTTTCTTTCCCCATTTCTCACTGACTTATGTGTAATTACTGTGGTTTCTTATCCAATCTTATTGTGTTATTATATGGGGAAATATGCTGGCAAATTGGTTAATACACAACATGGTTTTTACTAACTGACAAGACATAAAAATGTGTTGTCACTCACAATTGACAGCATGAAGTGTCAGGAAGAGATTGCAGGAATGTTCATTTTTAAATTTCTAATTATGAATGGGCTCCTCCATCAGTTCCTGCAACCCCTGGCTGGCAGAGCTCTCTGTGAATTAAGCAGCAGGCAGTCTGCCAGGGAACCTCCACCAAGTGTCTTTATGACTTTTTATGGTGCATCACAACAGAGCAGCACTTACGAGGAGCCCCCTTCCTGCTCGCTGGTTCAGACTTTTACATTGCTGCTTTCTTCTCAGCACTGAGCTAGTGACCTCACCAGGGCTCCCCACAGGGAGCCGGGATCCTCCAGGCAGCAGTCTGGCTGGCAGCATGGAGCAGGGCAGGCTCAGCCCATCTCGGAGCAGGAAGCCTGGGCAGCAGCTAGGCTGGGAGCGGGGTGGACCATGGGGCATCCAAGCTCCAGGCACGGAGGGTACAGCCAGGCTAGGACAGGGGAGCCTCAAGGCAGCTGGGCCCTAGCTGGAGCCCCCTACCTGCCCCCGGAACAGCCTGGCTTTTTAGTTAGCGGAGCCATGAAACTGCCAAGAATGACAGCCAACAGCTGATGTAAGTGAGACAGTGTCTACACACACACTGCATCGCCCTAACTACACCCACATAAGCCCTGCGCCTCTCATGGAGGTGGAGTTGTTATATCCGTGTAGTAGGGCACTTACATCAGTGGGAGCAAGGCTGTAGTGTTACAGTGACATAATTAGTTTGATGTAATCTGCCTTACATTGATCTAACTCTGCAGTGTAGGACCAAGCCCCGGTCCCAGCCACGGCGATAACTATTCCCTACGCTGTACTCCTGGGCAGCCTCCTCGATGGGAACCACCCTGTGAGCGCGGTGAGCCCAGGACTGGATCCAAGCACATATTCACTGGGATTGTCCAGCATTCCAGGGAACCAAAGCTTCCAGCTCTTGCCAGGCATGTTCTAGGGAAAATCAGAAAGTCCCAGTTGTTGATCTCAGGCTCAGGAGCTCCCTCCTCTGGTTCAGACCACAGGAGGCCGGACACCTGCCATTTCCAATGCACAAGCAAAGTGGCGTGAATCCCTGTGCAGGAGGCGTGCGTTGGGAAAGTTGGCCTGTGATGGATCTCTGGGTGGAATGTCAGAGGAGGATTTCTGGGTGTGGTTTCCAGTGTTGTGTTTGGTTTGGTTTGTATAATTCCTCCTCTAGGTAAGCAGGGAGGGATGTAAGGCCAGATTTTCAGAGGTATTTAGTGCCTAGCACAACAGGATCTTTGGTCCATGACTGGTGAGCTCCAAGGTGCTACAAGAATAAATAGTAATCATAAAGGGATAGAGGGGAATCAGTCTGTGACTCTCCTGCTCCAGCCTTCCTGACCTTTGCATGTGGACTGGACTTTTAATGTGTAGAGACAACATAATCACAAATCTTCCATAGACCCAGAGTGCACTGCATCAAAGTAATCCCCAGGCTCTTATCATAGTAACGTGTGTCTGTCTGGGCCCTGGTGGTGTTTAGGTCTCAGCTCTGGTGCGGAAACAAATCCCTGAACAAAACCCTGATCCTGCCCCCCAGATAACTGCTGTTTCAAAAAACACAAAGCCAAACAGTTAATCCTTATATTTGAACAGACAGGTGGGGTCACAGATCTGCACCATTCATTGAGTGCTACTTCATGTTTGTACCACAAGAGGGTTGCATTTGGGAGTTGCAAATACTTATCCCCCCCACCCCGTCCCACAGTCAAGAAGGAGCTGATCCCACAGAGTCTAGCAGAACCTTTGGGTGTATCCAAGCCCCACTGAGCAGCTGCCCAGCTCAAGGGGACCAGGAGACCTCAGAGGTGCAGGATATTTCGAATATCTGCCTGAGTTACTGTGAGCAGCATCTCAGTTTAGTGACTCACATGGGTGATGTTTATTTTGTGGGAGGAGCTTAGAATAACTTTCTCCAACATCCTTCCTCCTCACCTGCACTGCTCCCCTAACCTGTACTCTGATCTGTATATTCCTGTCACTCAGCCTACACTGCCACAGCCCTGCTGGATTTAACATCCTCCTCAGACCAAACAGATCCCTGTTGTTGCTTGGAAACAAGCCGGAGGTTAAAGGGAATTCTGGGTTCTCCCATTCAAGTGAGAAACATCAAACCCCAGCTCAGCAGCAAACACCAACACAAGTCACTGGCCTGCTGCCCTCAGGTCTAATGAAGGTTCTAAAAGAAAGTTATTGATTGTAAAAGGCACCGATGTTGTCGTTCACCAGAAGGTCTGAGATCATGTCCCCCCAAGGCAACACGTCCTTTGGTGAGCCTGTCTTTCGGAAGCTCTGTCCCTGCACAACAACCTGGCTTCTGATCCTCAGCCGAGCCCTTTCCATGGAGAGTGAGGTGCAGGACGGAGGAGAAGGCTGAGAGGTGCCATCTCCCCTCCATGGACTCAGCGGTCATTCTCGGGGACAGGGCCCAAGTAACACAATATCCTCACTGGCGATGGCAGCGACTGGGTGACCTGGGCCAGTTGCTGTGATCTGGGCAGGTAATGTCCCAGGGCAGAAGGAAAATAGACAGACTCCCCTGCTGCTGCCATCGTGTTTCAGACCCTTTCCCCTGATGGACGCTGCTGCTCCTAACTCGTAACAACTCCCATCATCCCAGCACTATGGAAACATCAGCAAACTGCAGGGGGAGGGTGAGAGTCAGTGGGAGTCAAGCACCTGCCTGCCAGATTGGTGGTTCAGTAAGGCTGCCCCTGCATCCTCCCAGCCCCCCTGTGGGGCAGGTGAGTGTCACTCAGCCCTTTTCGAGGGGCAGGAGTGGAGGTTAAATCCAATAGGACAGAGGTTGAAAGTCTCACTAGGGATTTCAAGTCACTGGGGTCCCTGTAGTGGCAGTACAGGAGGGTGGGGAGGTAAAACCCACCCACATCCCAGGCCCAAGTCATTGGCATCCAGCCCAGCCCCCCCAACTCCCACAGTCACTGCGCCCCCAACCCCTGGGCGGGAGTGCTGGCTGCAGCCCCTCTGCAGCACTTGGTCAATAGAGAACCCTGCCATGGTGCTCAGGGCAGCAGCAGGCCAGCCTGGTCACTCTGTACAGCCTCCCTCACAGTCCCCAGGGGTTCATTATTTGGGGAGAGGGGTTGCTGTGGCTCTCCAGGCCATGGGGGAGTTTCATCTAGAAAGCAGCAGAGGCAGAGCAGGAGCCAGGTCTCGGGGACCCCAGCTCCTTAGCCCTGTGCCCAGAGCCATACAACACTGCCTCCTGAATGTGACACAACACACATACGAATACAGTGTGAGTAATAGCAATTACTCCTGAAACTCAAGTAATAGACAGGGATGATTTTGTGGTTGCAGGTGATCATTTTATTTTCAGATATTTCAGTGCTTTCTTTAATTCAGACCGTAGCTATACCGTTATAATCCGTAGTGTCTGGTCTGGCATGCAGCAAACTGCAGGTGATCCACATTACAAACATTTGTCACACATTTTGATTGCTGGTGTCCTACCAGCATCGATAACTGTCACCTGCC